GAAAACATTTGACATCTGTAGACCGTGAGTTTATGAGGCGTTAGATTCTAGAACTAAAAAATAATCTAATAAGTATGGATTTGGTGTAAATAGTTAACAGCTTAAGGGTCGATTTTTCCATCATCAGTCAATTCTTAACTAACATAACATAACATCACGCCTTTTTATCCCCGAAGGGGTAGGCAGAGGTGCACATTATGCCACTGTACAATGTAACACCCACTTTTCACTATTTATGTTATGAGTCCCATGTAATAGGGGGTGAGCCTATTGCCATATACCGGGCACAATTCCAGACTCCGTGCTACTACTGAGATTTTTAAAAACCCAGTAATACTTTGCCCGACCCGGGAATTGAACCCGAGACCCCTTGCCCGGCAGTCGCACTTGCGACCGCTCGGCCAACGAGGCAGTCAATTCTTAACTGTAATATAAAATTGACATAAGACCGTTTTTAATATGGAAGATTTGTCAAATATTCAAAGTTATTCCTCAGTTAAAATTTATCTGGCGTTGGAAAAATCGGCTTTAAGAGAGAAATAGACATGTCGTGTAATATTTTATTGTATTAGAATAACTATAGGTACACTAACTATACATCCAGAATGATTAATTCGTACACGACTTTGTATTATTTTTTAACATAGGATTAGCAAATAAAATTCATTTTAAACCCAGCCACAAATCCAGTTACAAATAAAGGTAGCCATCTTAAATTACAATAACTGTTTAATAAGGCAAATTGATGATGGCCCGTCCACTTCCTTAAGAAGTAATTAAACTTGTTTTTTCGACTTTTTAATAAAAACTTTTTACTTTGGTGGCGAAAAAATGTTATGAGAGAACGTTACCGCTTCGCTGTTTATATCAAAATAATACTTGGTTGAACTTTTCGTGTATTTTTAAAGGCTGGTCGTTTTTGTTGTAGGTTTTTTTTTAGTTTTTATATTATATCTGAAGGATTTCTTAGAATCTTGTTAATAAAATTAAGGTGGATATGGATTTTAGAATTGGTGTTCTATTATCTGGAATGTACAGTCCACGTCGTTATTAGTAGGCATGGTACATTTGTTTTGATATTTATAATGCAAGAAAACCACAATATTTATTTTTGCCTAAGGGAAAAATATACGATATTTAGAGCTGACCACTGTAGCTACTAGCGTAGTTAAGTAGGATATACAATAAAAAAAAATATAGGTACATAATTTTATACTCTTATATGAAAAATACATTAAAATAATTAAAATGAAACGACATATATTTAAGGCAATAATTCACGATGGTCATTAACTTCGACATTGATAGAAAGAGAAAACATAATATGCAGTGTGAGATGCATATACAACAGTTGCATATGTGTGATAGAGACAGAGCATGTTTGATCAGAGCCGCCCTTTTGATAGTGTTTCCAAATTTTTGGAAAGTAACGCGTATTGTTTGTTATAGTGGCGGCTTACATGGAGTTGGGGACCTTTTATATTGCAATATATTTTTAAATACACATTCGTATACTTTTTTCGTGTGGCATACTTTTATAAAGTATAAAAATCGCTATTTGCTAAATATTTTAACTTACTGATCTTTGTGGTATTGATAGTAGTATGAAACATATTATGTTTGAGTATAAGCTTGACAGGTTCAAAATTATATTTCCTTTTTTAGTTTTTTAAACTTTCCTAATATGTGATAGATCTGATAATCTCGTTTTTTTGAGTAAAAGTGTTATTGAAGACATAAACATTCTTAACGACATTTGCACCAACGATACAGTATCATACACCATGTTTATTTTCATTTCAGTTTTACTTAATAAATTTCAATATTAAATTAGTATTCGCATAAGAAATTCTCAATACTTGTGTTTATTATTTAATTATTGATACTTTCATCAATACTTGCAGACGCATGTAAACCCACGTTTCATCGTAATGCACTGGCCCCCTGTCAAATAATCGACTGTGCTAGGGGTGGCCGGGTGGGGAACACAATTTTTGCTATTTTCTAAAAAAAAAAAGAAATACAGCACACGTTTTTACTGAACGCGCACGCGCAACAGTAGGCACGCGCCAAAATTTTTTGAAAAAGTGGTCGGGAATTTTCGCGAGTGACTGTACTTTCAAGTTTATTAAATATAATTTTCGATATTGATTGACTATTTTTCGGTGATGTGTGTGGTGATTTTGAGTCTGTGATAACTCTATAATGGTGATTAGGGCTAATGGAGGCTGTAGATCTTAGACAGAATAATAGGTAAGAGTGTGTTCTTATTGGGATTTGTCATTCAAATGGTCAATATAATCTGAAAATATTTTATGCATGGGTGGATCTATACCTACAAATATTTTACCGGCTATACTAAAACTATACCTATTAGTAATGTCATCGTTTTTTTTTATTTGACAATCAAAATTGAAATTGAAAATGTTTCTTAATAATGATTATTTTCATCAATAAAGAATAAGATAATATGAGTACGTATTATAAATATGTACATTATATTTTTTTACCTTTGATGATCCATTAATCGTCAAGCGTTCCTTTTATATACCTTGGCTTTGTTATGACTGACTGTGACTGTCAAGTTGCCTTATTTTATACCAATTTTTTGTGATATATAGTAAAATTTTAGTATAAAATTATGCAGGTTACGGAATCATTACAATAATTTAAGATGTTTAATAAGCTATGAATGATATGACATAAACAAAAGGTTGGATTACTTTCTTAAATAGTAGACATATTTTTTTAATTTTTTCCGGAATAAAAACCTAAGAGCGATACTCTCATCCAAAAAAACTATCATTGATATCATTTTTTGTGTGCCAAAATATGATAGGTGTGCAGACTGGCTACGTCACTCAAGCTATGCTAAATTTTAATTCGCTTTGTATAAGCTGTTTTTTTATTTGGGAAAAATAAAAAAAGTACGTGTCTGGCACTTTTCCATTATCTAACTGACGGATTCAATTGATATTTTCGTCTTTTATATCCTGTCCCATAAATCGAAGTCATTAGTTGGAGTTATATGATTGGATAGTTAATTAATAAAGTTCTAATTTTAAGATCAACATAAAAAATTGAAGATCAATGTAAACATCCTGCTGTAAACTTCTGTGTTGCATTTTTAAAACTGTCAATGAAACATTTGTATCTGACCGTGCCCACGCGTATTTAAAAAAAACAATTTGTGGTCACCACCACACACCACAAATCTATACATATAATAAAATTGTAGAAAAGTGCTGTCTGTACATTGAAAATAAAAATAAAAAAGATAGCAGGGGCTATTGTTATGTCGATGTCGAACCCAAAAATGTAACTAACTTTTTTTTTGTCTGTTTGTCTGTTTGTCTGTTCACGCTAATCTCAGAAACGGCTTATCCGAGTTGGATGCGGTTTTCACGAATATATTGTGGTATGCTTCAGTTATGCTTTAGTGTTTGTTTCATGTCAATCGGTTCATAAATAAAAAAGTTACGTCAAATTAAAGAATCACGTCGAACACTATCTATCTATCTATACATATAATAAAATTGTAGAAAAGTGCTGTCTGTACATTGAAAATAAAAATAAAAAAAATAGCAGGGGCTATTGTTATGTCGATGTCGAACCCAAAAATGTAACTAACTTTTTTTTTGTCTGTTTGTCTGTTTGTCTGTTCACGCTAATCTCAGAAATGGCTTATAAATATATATATATTATATATATATATATTATATATATATAATATATATATATTATATATATTATATATATATATTATATATATATATATAACAGGGTGCGGAAAAGGTGATAGTGGTTTTATTCCTCAGATTCCTCTCATTCCAAAAAAATTTCCGTTTAATTTTAAACGAATTCAGTTTCCAGTGAGCCTATGTTTCGCCATGACAATTAATAAAGCTCAAGGTCAGACTCTAAAAGTTGTGGGTATAGATCTAAGTATCAGCTGTTTTTCGCACGGTCAATTGTATGTGGCTCTGTCCCGTGTTAGCAATCCCAGCAGCCTGTATGCTTTCACCCCCGATGGCCATACGTCTAATATTGTATATAGAGAAGCATTACAGTAAAATGGCTGTGATTATGATCCAAATCTAAAATAAAAATAAGTATATATTTAAAAAAAAAACGCTGCTCATAGTCACTATTCTACGCGAACGAAGTCGCGGGCACAGCTAGTAAAAAATAATTCTCGTTAATAACTACCTACTGTTGGAAATTAAAACTAAATCAGTGTTTATTTAAAACACCACTATTTCTATGAAATTATGAATTGAACTATAAGACGAAATTATTGTTCGTCAGAAGTTACGAATACAATTTAAGCGTAAAATTCAATAGTACCTACCTAATAAGCCACAGGGCTAATTTTTGGAATTTGTTTATTATAATTTTCTTAGTGAGCGATGCAAATGCTTTCAAGGAAAATGTGGGGCATTTTCCTTGAAAGCATTGACATATTGTCTTGTTACTATGTACTAGAGTATGTTTAATAATAGACTATGGGAAAAATTACACTTAACTAGGGATTCTTGTGACATCTGACAAACATTTATTATAAATTCTTTAATAGGTACCAACAACTACCTCCATTTCATATTTATATAAATAAAGCCACAAGCAGAACATATTCCCAACTGTCCGTAGAATAGAGATCCGACCGATCCGATCAGGCTAAAAGGTTCTCGAATGGAGACCAGCGGCCACATTCTGGCAAGCGCAGCACAGAACTCCCACTCACAAGGTAGACAAAAACTTGATAAAAGTCGTCAAGTAGCTGCTGAATGTTGGTCGCTTCCAACCTGTCGATTTTGAAGTCAGTGGGCGCCTTGTGACTGATAAAATGATGGTTATAATGCACAATAGAGTTAGGTTTATCTGATAGTCGTCACCGCATTACGACTTTGTCTCATGATGACGCTTGTTATAAATATTAACAGTACCAAGTGTATGAATATTGTCTCGGTCGTATTAATGTGTTGTTTGTTTCGTTTCAGATGCGGCGGTGACGCGATGTCTGTCGCGCCAGCGGTCAAGCGCGAGCTGGACCTGGAGAGCGGCGGCAGCAGCCCCGGCCGCAAGCGCCGCAAGCAGGCGGCCCCCACGCGTGCGCAGCCGCAGCACCTCGCGCCCCCGCCCATCGACCTGCACGCCAAGATGGCCGACATCTACAAGAGCGCCCTCGCCTTCGGGGAGCTCGCCCTGCCCACCTTCGACCCGCTCGCAGCTTTCCGCCTGCTGCCGCGGCACGAGCCCCCGCGTATCTTCAACCCCGAGGCATACTGCGACCTCTGCTGCAAAGAGTTTTGTAACAAGTATTTCTTGAAGACCCATCGCGCTAACAAGCACGGGATCTACGACGGTGGCGACCCGCAGCCAGCCGCCCCACCACCCGCGCAACCCTCGCCCCCACGTCGCTCCTCCGATGAGGAGTCAGGGGGAACACCACGTCGTCTCTCACCAGATTCGGCCCGGCGTGCGCGAGAGTCCGGTTTCCAGCCTGACGCACTACGCCGGTTAGGAGTGGTCAATCCTGAAGCGTTTTGTGAAATATGCTGTAAAGAGTACTGTAACAAATACTTCTTGCGAACACACCGAGAGCGGCGGCATGGTGTACCCGCGCGTCGCTCGCCCATCAACGACCATTCTCCTCCGTCAGCCACGCCACCTGCCGGCCCGCTGTGCACACCACTGGGCACTCCTTTGACGACACCGCTGACAACACCACCAGCGTTATCAGGACCACCTCCTGACACGCCACCACGCTCGCATTCTCTACCACCACCATTAGACCCTGAAGAAATGGCTGAAGTGAAACGTGAATGTGAAGAAGACCTAGAAGCTGCGTTACGTGATGGCCAAACAAGTCCACTGAACCTTATAGTGGAAGAGAGGGGCGTGCCCTCGCCCGGCTCTGCGAGCGAAGAGCTACGCAAGCTGCAGACGATGATATCCCAGCTTAACGAGCTAGCAGCCGAGCGACTGGCGGACGAGCCCAACGACCCGGGCCCGCGCCCCCCCTCCGCCTCGCCTCCACCACCTGACGAGCGACGCGCCTCCTCCTCTGGTTCGAGTTTCTGTGAGATTTGCAACAAGGAGCTGTGCAATAAATATTTCATGCGTACACACATGCAGCGCATGCACGGCATCTCACTAGAGAGTGGCACGCAGTTAGGCGGGGTCACGTGCGACATCTGCCACAAGGAGCTGTGTAGCAAATACTTCCTACGCGTGCACAAACACAACACGCACGGCATCCCAGCGCCACCCGCACCAGCTACCACTGCACCAGCCGAGCCATGCCCACTGTGTGCGCGAAGGTTTCGTGGCCCACGCGCACTACGAGCGCATTTATTAGCTGAGCATGCTCCCCCGGCGCGGCCCCCACCACCTCCCCCACGACCTCTGGACTTGCTCGCGCGAGATAAGCCTTACGCCTGCTCGTATTGTCCATTCACCACCGATGTGCTTGCGTTCCTGTTCGCGCACGAACGCGCGCATGCGCAGCAACAAGCGATAGAGCCACCCGAACTGCCACCCGAGCCTCCTGGAAGTGCCTGCGGAAGTGAGATGGAGGGCGGCGAGGTGGGCCCCGAGAGCGGCGAGGGTGAGGGTGATGCGGACGCGCAGTACTCGTGTTCGCGCTGTGAGTTCCGTGCGGAGGGCTTTGCTGCGCTGGAGGCGCACCTGCGTGCGGCGCACGGCGGCGCGGGCGCGTTGCTGGCGGTGCCGCGCGCGCCTCAGGCCCCGCTGACTATGCAGCCCTTCGTGGTGGAGGAGGCAGGCGGCGCGCTGAGCCTGGTGCCGGCGCTGGTATTTCTGCCAGTGCGGCGCCGCGCCACGCGCCGCGCGACCGTCACGCTGACGCTGACGCCGGCCTAACGGCCGCGGCGCGACGCGGGCGCACGCGGCCAGCGATTACACCGCCGCGTGCGCGCGCATACGATCGCTGAACTCTACTAACTACATTTAACGCTGTGTGCCTTCAAGCGATTGCTGAAATATTATGAGACGTAATTTGTAAAGGAGAAGCTGCCGCGGCCGCCCGCTCGAGCGCCACACCGCGCGGCGGCCCCCGGCCTCTTTTTGTCAGAGTCTAACTTCATATATTGAGAATTATATTGAACGGGTGATATATGAAACGTTGCCGCTTATAAATTCGATTATTTATTATTATCTCCTCGATGTTCCGTCGGGTCGGTCCGAGACGAGTTTATGAAACGTCGATTTCGATCGGGAGAAGAAATACACCCTAGGAGTAATTATTATTTAAAGGTATTGTATCGGTGAGTGCGCACTCACGATAGCGTCGTAGTACCGGTGCGATGTTGATCACTGAGCAGCGCGGCTGCGCGCGCGCAGTCCCCTCTACCGTACTACCGCGTACTACTACTACGACAACCGCTCTACCTCACCTCGTTAGTTTTTATATTAGCTGTTATTGTATAAATTATATTTTGGAGTTACAATAAAGTACAAATATACTAAGTTAGTGCGTTACAGCGCGCCGGACGGAGGCCGCGCGCACACGTTAGCTACTCGATACTATTTATTGTTGTCTACGAGTGACTTAAAGCACAAAGATACGTACTATTGGGCAGTGATCAACATTAAACGTAATTTTAGTATTAAATTTGATTAGATATGTGGTCGTGGGGCTCGGTGAGACGGGTTTTGTTGTGTCACACACCAATATATATATATACGGGTCCTTGTGTTGGGGCGCGGGGCTGAGCTAGGCGCGCCCCGCCGCATTATTTGTGTATCGTAAACATTATGTGTTACTGCGCCGGCGCACCGCCGCTCCGCTCTGCAACAATATAAACAGCTATGACCGCTTTAAATTTAAACTAATGTTTTGAATTCAACGTTTTACGATGTACATTATTAATAGTTATATTAACTGCCATCGAAAAAGACTGAACATTTAATAATTCACGTGTCTGGCGGGGTGGAGCGGCGCACGCGTCGCTTATATTATTATCTTGATAATCAAGACTTATTTGATGGGTAAAATGGTAACAAAGTTTGTTTAAATAATTCATTATTGGTAGATCAGTGTGGAGGTTAGCTTGTACAAACCATGCAGCTTCTAAAGAAAGTTCCTATGTATGTACGTAAGTTGTAATTTAAATTTAATGAAACTAGAGGTCGCCCCCGTGACGGCTCCGGACAGGCATCGAACCTGATTGTTGAGGTAATCATTGTGATGATGGATCAGGGTAACCCTTATCAGGACAGAGTGCTTGTGGTGGAAACGCCATGCCGATTATAAAATGACAAAATGAAATTGAAAATAACTATGACAAATAATATTCTCTTTCATTTTTATATCACTTGAAAAAGAAACTGTTTTCGAATGTATTCTGTCCAAGTTCTGTTCTATCTATCTACATTCGTTTTGTTTCCAACGAAACAAGAATCCTATGAAGATGTTTACTTCAAATACTTGTAGAGTTCCTAGACAAAGTTCCAAGCTGAGATTCCTACTCCAAAACGTCAAAATTAGTCATTAGAGTTCAAAATAAATGCAGAGAGAATTATTTTGAATACCTTCCGACGAGTCTTCCGGGAGTATAGCCAAACGAGGCCTGCACGGAGCCGAGGCGCGGGCGCGCGATACAACAAATTATATTAATAACGTTTTAAATAATAACAAATTAATACAATTGTACGCGTGGTAAGATCTTAAGCCAGCGGCCATTTTCTAGGAGCATCCGTGGAACAATAGTAGAGGGTGCCGGGTTTTTATTATATTTGGAGAATGGACGCTCGCTCGGATCGAGATCATTGGATGTAGTGAAAAAAATGTATTAAATATTGTGTTCAGGATGTTTGTTTTTCCAAAAAATGCGTTGTACTTGGTGTGGAGACCAGTTTAAGGGTTGGGGACGTAGCAGAGATGATTCACATGAAATATATACTTACTATATAATATATATTTGGTGAGGTCCTGTTATAATGTTGTTGGACCTCACCTTCTACCTTCACAATATACGTATTACCAGTGCTACTCGTAATAGGGAGAACCATATGATGACCCTGTAAGAGATTTTAATTATATTAGGCAAGTTATATAGTATTTTATTGTAGGCATTAACTCATAATAGGTATTAACGCAAAGCTTGTTGAAATAACACAGATTACATAGAAAATTATTATAAGCAGCTATCAGAAATATAACAGTAGAATGAATATTATTAAATAACATTTTCATAATAGTCAATTATATGAATTTGGTTATATTAATAAATAACTTTTCAAAATAAATAAAAACCGCGCGCATTGTAATAGAAACTGCTACAAAATTAAGCAACTGTAAAAACATTACCCTTTCAGACCGTTGTTATTATTATTATTAGGTAAATTACAAAAAAGGGTAATAATTACAATGTAAAAATACCTAATAATAAAAATTAATATAAAAAGTTGGTGCTAACAATATTTGTTAGCCTCTGTATGTTGAGATTACAATATAATAGAATAAAAAAAATATAATATATGACATTATACAGTATGTAATTATTTTATTAATATTTATGACATAAATATACGTGTGTCTGTTTGTCTGTGCTACGTCCGCAACGTACCAATAGTACAAATTTGTTAACCAAGTATGTAAGGTATCGGAGATTGGTAAACAAATAATGAAACAGTACAAATTAATTATTAAGAGTAGTTTGGAAGGTTAACAGGAGTGATATTAATAGTTAACAATAATTCATTCAAGTACAACGCTTAGAAGCAGCCAATACAGTCGCACGGCTCCCAAAATAATAATTCCTATTATTATTTTTAAATACGTACTATTATTATTATTAGATTTGCATTCCATTATTGTTATTGCAAAAAATGATTTTTAGTTTGTAATAATGCAATGGTAATTTTGCAAAATGTAATAAAATAGTAAAATAATAATGTTGAAAACATTTAAAAGAAACTATTATTGAATGCTTTACAGAGAAAGCGAAATAAATGTTTTTGGTGACACGGGTAATATTTAAACAAAAGTGTTTTTTGCAAAAATAATATTATGTTCCTATGTATGTAATTATACTTTAAGTATTTTAATAACAAATGAACGAAATGTGTTCGTGGTTGATTTCAGATCGAGGTTTTTTAATATTTTGAGATGATCTGAGATGGATCCCTGATACATTTTGTTTATTATTTTGTCAATATCAAATATTTGAGAAGTTTACTATTAATAATAATATTTGATTCTGACAGAAACGTTATGATCTCTAACGCAAAGTTCCTTCATTCCTAAATTAATGTAATTTGTTCTAGTCGTTCGTAACTTTAGGTTATTCGTATTTTCAGTGCGACTGTATTTTGTAAAACGTGAAAATATTTTTTCGAGTTACTTATATAAAACTGTGTTGTTTCTAGTCAAATTATTTTATAAAAAAAACATTTTACTAATGTGGATAGCCAGTTGGGGCATATAATAATAATAATGAAATATATATTTAGGAAATTACAAAATATATGGAGCATAACCTGAATGGATATTTATTAATTTAAATTGCAGCAGCGATTTAAAGAATATTGGCGTCCACATTGGATAAAATTATATTTTAAAATATATAAAGAGAATTATATTCTGGCTTTAGGAGAAAGCCAAACCTTATGCCGCATCCATGTTGTACAACTTATTACATAATATCATTATCATCAGCTACAATTATTACACTCGCAAAAATATTACAAAAAATAAAATTGAAATATCTCTTCTGGAAAAAAAATATAAATACAATTATTTTATTAAACAACAAAACATGTACTGTGACAGGTGTTATTGTAATAATATTTTTATAGAATAATATGACCTGTGGGTCATAATATAATTAGATAATGGTCAGTAATTAGTTTTACAATGTGGTTTGCGGTCGGTATATGTTCCTAGCTCCGTCTGTTTGTTATGTATTTGTTTTCCATTAATTACTACGAAGCATTTCTACCGTATTCAATAAATTAAATATACAAATAAATACGAGTCATTTTTATACCTGAATAACCTACTTATTGGGACTGAATCTTGAAAGCTTTAGAAATCTGAAGCTTGAAAAACTTTAAGTAAAGTATGTGTTGTGAATCAGTATTATTGTTAAGCTTATTCGTATGGAAGAGCTTATTCATTCATTCTTGTTTAAATTAAACTTTACACTGTTTTCCAACTGTGTAGTTGGGCAAGGTACCACTAGTGAAATCAGAACATGAAAATGAATACCTACTGTTATTCTTAGAGATATGAACAACATTGTCGTGAATCCTGCAATGAATTGAGTCAATAGATCTCTTTAGAATATAACGAAAGATTTAACTTTTTAATGGCACTAAAAGAAAATAAATGAACTGTAAAATTAGTTACACTAAAATTACAAGATAAGTTTAAAATTGTTATCAAAGAGGTTACCAAAAAAGTTATTTCTGTATACAGTTTACTATAAAAGGATTTGTACACGTTTAAAAACGTGGGGTGTTGGTACTGTGGACACAACTTTACATGGTATTGGTAACCATATTTAAATTAATCATTAATACTTAACATTTAACCTAATTAAAATACACAATGACCAATGAACCGTACCGTAATAAACGTAATAAACACCATCAGAAAACCCTATTACGCTGTTGACTGACGTCAAGGCGACAACTTCAAAGCCAAAAATGAAAAAAAAAGCTGCGAAAATCGTTCAGCGAGATAATCTATAAATAAATCATACAATTACAACCCTAACTCGAATATAAAAAAATCCTCCGCCAAAAATAGTCTTAATTAAAGATTATATCCGCGTCAACTGTCAGCTTTAGATTTATAAAAAAAACTTGACAAAAATGCGCTTTTTTGTAAAAAAATCGACATCCATTAAATATCGCGGCGCGAGGGTTACCCCGTGTCGCATACTCGCATCTGTCAAACACGTCAAGGGGGAAATGCAGTAAAATTGTTGAAAAATGGGTTAAATGTTAAAAAAATATGGCAAAACATGTAGCCGGCGAGGGGTTAAGCTGGCAGTGTCAACATTACACGGGAGTTAACCCATCGGTCGCGGGCCGACATGCTTCGTTGTCGTTTGAACCCAAGTTTAAGTTTTTTGTTGATATTAAATGTTAAATTGTAACATTTTTATTTTGAAATTTTTCATGCTTTTTGGAATAAGTGGTTTTGAATTTTTTGGTTAATAAGATAGCTATTTTCTTATTCTTTTTTTCTTTCTATAGAGTTAGAGAAGGGAATAAGGGATGAGTATTAATGAACTAATCAGCACATATTTACCAAAGTGAAGAAGCACCGAGTGACCAAAGAACATAACTTTAAACCGATACGGAGACGCGGAAGGCCTAACGGGTTGCCGAGGCTCCAGCTCGAAGTGCAGGAGTAGGAACGGGGTGGTTTTTAGTCAGTAAGAGTTTGACACTTTCTCTCGCCTCACCCAAGACGGGAGAAGTCATTAAATGATTTCCTCCTATTTAATAAATTGAAAATAACAACCATTTTTCGTAGCACAGGAAACAACATGAAACAAACATTATACCCATCGGATTTCCGAAAAATAAGTGACACATGGGCATGAAACTAAATAAATCAATAAATACTACGTATACACAGTAAAAAGAGCTGTTAAGTAAATAAGAAATAAATAATTATTATTGTAGATACATTTTCCTCAAAGTAGAAGTCAGGTAAGAAGATGGATACACAAATCATCTATGTCATCACGAATGGTAGGTATTCAGCACCTTCCATGGACACCCACAACACCATAGAAGACATAAGTGCTGTGCGAATCTTTTTAACTGAGACTAAGGTAGCACTCGACTAACGAAGTAAACCAACAAGGTATATAAAACACATATAGATATACAATGTCATATCTTTTATCCCCGAAAAGTTAGGCAAAGATGGATATTTACCTACCTAATGTACCTACCTAATACATACATACATAACATCACGCTTTTTATCCTCGAAGGGGTACTGTAGAATGTAACACCCACTTTTCACTATTTATGTTATATAGTCCCTTATAATATGGGGTGAGCCTATTGCCACAATTCCAGACTCTGTTCTTACAGACAAATTCCAGTTCTACCTAATACCCACTATTAATCCTGATATGGTTATCAGTCCAATGTAAAAGATAATGTGTTGGTATATATGTACATCGAACTCACTTCTAGGTTCCATACAATTAGGTATAGAAAATTTTCAAAAAACTAGAAATATTGACCATTAAATATGTAAAAAAATCCAAGTAGCTCGTGAAAGCGTCCATATTCATCTTCAACAGCCTATAAGTGCCCATTTTCATTTTTTTGATAACTCAACAGGTACCACAGTCATGAATACGGTATTTAGGTTTCCAAACAGTGCTAACACCAATAAATTGATATATTTTGTTTAAATCTAAATTAGACCACCATGAACTTGGCCATACAAACAACAATGTGATTTATCGGTTTTTGTTCCCACGCTCCTCAATTATAAGCCCAGGTTTTCTCACGATGTTTCTCTTTACCGTTTGTCTGTAGAGTCTAGATATTCTTATCAAGTACATATAACACGGAAAAAGTCACATTGATATCACTTGCAGTTGGCAGGTTTCGAACCCGTACCCTGATGCATGAGAAGCGGGTGTCTTAAACCTCTCCGGGCCACCACGTGCACGACTGTGCAAACGTTAAAATTTATAAGAATTAAAATATCGACAGTTGCGCTAGTGACATCTCAACAAAGGTAAATAAGGTAAATTATTTGTAAATAAACAAATTATTAACATCAATTTGTTAATAATTACTAACTAGAAAAAAATATTTTATAGTGAATTATACTTTCAAGCTAAATAAACAAGCAATGTTTTCCAGCAACTCAATATTCTTGGTTGACACAATTTGTGTTAGTATTTATATTGAAGTAGGACAATATTAATTAATGAAATATTTTTAATAATTTATAATTGACGTTAACAATTAACCGCTATAGTACGTGGCTAATTGGTAAACAATATGTGACTCAACCACCTTGTGTAAAAACTTAAACATTGTAGGTATTTCATATAAGTTGCTTATTGTATCTCGTTGGCCGAGTGGTCGCAAGTGCGACTGCTAGGCAAGGGTTCTCGGGTTTGAGGGCCGAGTCGGGCAAAGTATTTTTTAAAATTCTCAAGTAGCGACAAGGAGTTTGGAACTGTGCCCGGAATATGGCAATAGACTCACCCCCTATTACATGGGACTCATAACATAAATAGTGAGAAGTGGGTGTTACATTGTACAGTGGCATTAAGTGCCGTAATGTGCACCTCTGCCTAGCCCTCTGGGGATAAATGGCGTGATGTTATATTGCATTGAAAGAGTATTTTCGGCAAATACATGTTGTTGTTCTTATTATAAAGAGGAATTATTTGATTGTCTGTGCTTGGCACAGACATATTCTGACCAGATTGATATATTAAAGATATATTAAAGAAGGGCCAAATTAAAAGTAGATAGGTACCCTTAACCGACGAGCACGGATGAAAAGATTGATGACTAATGATGAAGCGAAAGAGGTATGTAGGAATCGTAGCAATTGCCGTTCCATAATCTCTGCCTGCCCGCATGGGAGAAAGGCGTGAAGTTATGTATGTATGTATATTTAATTAGTAATAGTAACGAACTCCTCAGTAACGAAGATCTGATAAAAAGACAATAAATGAGTTTGTATGTTACGCTGTCCATTAACGTAAACTGCTGGATCAATTTTGATGACATTTAAAGAATTTTAGAGCCAGATGCAGGGTTTTAACATAAACAAAACAAGGCCTTAAAGCAAGTGCATCAGTTGCAATTATGTTAACTTAAATAAGTTGAATTTTGTATTGGTACCTATTAATTATATCATTGATGAGCTGGCTCCAGCGTAACAACTGACTGCATACTGATGTCATGCAGTGCGCACTCATACTATAACGTCAATCTAACTGTTACAATAACAAGTATTATTGGATAATTTTATTATTATTTTAATACTAAAGCAAGCAGATGAACCTGTCCTAGATGAATAAGTAACAAGGTAAGATGTTTCTATAACGTCTTTAAAACTAAGATAATCAAACAACAATCGTGAATAATTTATTAATACAGAGTGAGAATTATGAAGTTTCTTGCTCGTTCTTCTCAATTCGAATCTACATTTTGGAATGAGCACCTAGCTTCACTGACGGACTGACTGACAGACTATTATTTACTTTGTATGTGTTGACGTTTCAAAAGTACAAAATTATGGTTAAATTGAAATAAATGCTTTGACTTTGATTTTGAAAAGAGTGTGAGTCGACGTATTCCTCTCGGAAGGTGATAAGACCTACAACTAATTGCCTACAAAATTTGTCCTGAGGTCCCCAGTCCGAAAGTGAAACTAGAATCACTTAAATCAAACCAGTACTTTTTATTTATTGGTGTTTCTGTAGTTCAGATTTTTTGACCAAAACTAAAACAAAACTAAAAATGTTGAATATCTCAGAAACTAGCCATTTTCGGACCAGAGACCTATTTATAAGGGCTAATTTTGTACGAGATTAGTTGTTTTATCACCTCCTGAGGGGAATACGTCGAGTTACAAGTCAGCCTGTATAATCAAACAACGTAGGTATATTAAGGAATATATTAAGGATTCACTTACACTCTCATTGTATAGGTTAAATGACAAAATCTGAATTTAAACAAATTCCAACGACAAACATTAATTTTTATTAAATTACTCGCCCGTATAAAATTTACGCGAGATTGAAATCATTCACTTTTTTATTAAAAAATAACAATACGCGATCAATCACACAGTGCGCTCCGACACGCGGCCCCGCGACCTTATTATTTACAAAACAGTAAAAAATACACGCTTTTTGTAAAAAAACTGTGATTTCGTAAATCCGCCGCGCGAAATTCTCTAAATCATTTTATAAAAAGCCATTGTGATTTTTAAACCCTTGCTTTTTTGGAAAAAGCAGACAAGCGCGAGCCACGCTTTTATATTTACAAAAAAAAACTTTAATTCACTATGGCACACCCAGTGACCTACATATATTTTTGGCATTTCTGTAAAGCACCCCTTTATTACTCGGTTTTTTCATAATTGAATTAAATCCTTTGGAAAAAAGGGTTGGGTAAATTCCCAGTAATTTCGCTTTTTTTGCAAGTTTTAGTTCGCGGCAAAAATTATGCGCACTGTCAAAATTTCGCGCCATTAAGTTCGGACATCTGCCGAGAAAAAAAGTTAACAATGCAAATAGGGGAAGGACGACATTTTTAGGGGAATTTCGTCGTTTTCGTTTGCAAAATGAAAGAAATGCATTTAAACTATAACGAAGCGATGTCCCCTCATTTCAATATTAATGTCCGAGTATTAATTTTTTGAGAAAATTAAGCGGTATGCCCATACATTAGAGTTCAAAGTCGCGTGATGCCACGTCGTGTTTTGCATTTTATGGCTTTGGATTTTTATTATTTATGGATTTTACGGACGCAGTACAAAGATTTAATGTTGAATAAATTATTATTGGAAATGTGGATTTTATTATTTAGTAAAAATTGTGAGTTTTGTGTCTAGGGATCCTTAACGTTTACAGAAATGACTTGAACAACTTTTATTTCATTAAACTAAAAAGTTTATTTATTAACAAAAGCGTTCAAGTACAGGTGATCAACATTCCTTTTGTGTAGCCCTCTATCTATAGCATTATTCTATACAGGTACAAACACCTACCCCACAGCGCGTGCTCCACAAACCGCGATGTACTACAAAAGGAAGGTAAAGTGAACGAGTGGATTGCGGCAGCACATTATAGTATACTACATCACGCGTCGTAGTACATGTAGTCCATCAGCAGGGCGGCAGCTAGGAGCAGACCCTTTTCTTCTACTGAGATATTTTGTTCAAAGTTCAGCCCGAATCTGCAGGGAGGGAATAGATACAACTGATACAATTATATGATTAAGTTCAACGTGCATGTTCGTAAGTTTCGGTTGAGTAGAACAATACTTAAACTCCAATTATCACACTAATATTATAACTAAAGTGGAGGTTTTTCAGGAGTTTCTCACGTCATTTCATCAATCACGCTACTTTTTAAAATACAAAAAATTAAATACGCGGGCAAAGCGGCGGGAAAATGCTAGTAATACAATAAATAACTTAAATAATAATTTGGGCACACATAAAAGTGATATTCTACTAATAATGTTATAAGTCCCATACTATAAGGATTTTAGAAAACAAATATTATAATTATCTGTCTTGTTAACAAGACAGATATTTTAGGCTATGCTTGGGCGTGCCGCGGATTTATCGACGACAAAATCCCTTGCCATGCCACCCCAGTCTGCGTAACCCGTAATCGAGTGTTAAACTATTCGCTACATGCTTTATATATTCCTTAGTCCCCCAATAAATGACATAAAAACTAACTTGTCAGAAATTGGTGCGAAGATTAGAGCATGTGTGAGCCCCTGCCAGTGCCTGCAGGTGCTGCCCACTGCCGTGCCATCAGGCCGCACTATCTGGAAGTGCACGTCGCGAAAACAGCTCAGTGTCATGTATGGACCTGATGGACAAGGGTACATGGTCACAATTTGTTCTACCTTTCTAGCTCTCTTCTATTCAGGAAATATTGTGTTGATGACAAAATAAAAGTCAAAAGATCTTCGATATTTTATTTTTATAGCTAAAGGGTGATCTATTCAGAATGTGTTTGATTATTGATAATTTCAATAGTCTGAATACAAAAACGTAACCTCCTGTGAAAGCATCCTACCTACGAGGACTATTCAGTTATATTTCGAAGAGGAACTCACCATTAATGAGAAATAGAGTATCACCATCGCCATTCTTGATGACGTATATGGGTCTGAGGGCTGTCCACTGCTGCTCCACTTTGCCAATAAGCTGTTCAGGAGGCGAGTATATTTCCAGGTGCTGCAGCTGACAGGGGAAGATCCTGGCAGTGCAGGAGAAGGGCCGGTGTATCCTCATCACCTCTTTACCTTGCTCGTTCATCACCCTCAGCTCGAGTGGACGTAGACCATAGCAGAAATATCCTACCCACCAACTTCTAATTACAAAATGGAAATATAAATTATGAGTTACGCCATTGAGTCTTGAACTTTAAAATACTTAAAAGATTTGTAGATTTGCAGATGAAATAGGAAGTATAGATTTTACGAGCCTTATTAATTTTCCTAGAAAAACATCCCCTGTTAAGTTTGTTGCGTACCATCGGCAAAAATTGTTAGAGACATGTATGTATACACAAATTATTATCGTTCCAAAACTCTGGTCTTTGCATCTACGACTTACCTATTCTCCTCTTCAATAGTATACATCAGTGTCTGGTCGGAGGTCCTCACGAAGAACCTGTTCTTCTTCCCTCGTAGGCACAGCACGTTCTTGACGCGGAGCCTCTTCGTGACATGCAGCCTATCGATTGGCAGCAAGTCGTGGAGAAGTGGGAGTTGAGGAGTCTAGAAACGTCAACTTAGATCCAGTTTACTAGTTCAAATTTTGAGAAGTGATGATAATCCATCTCTACCTAATCCCCTAAACCTAATTTTTAATCCTAAAAAGCAAACAACACACTTGTTACTTCTTTGGTGCTGCGGGTGATACAGTCGTTCGCCGCCCTATTCCATAAAGAAAAAATTGAAAACTTTCTTAAGAATAACTTCTATATAATTATGTATACATGGTAAACAACGTATTTCAAATCCATTCAGCAGTTTTCGATGTTAAAGCGAACAGCCAGACCTTGGTTTATGCATAAATACTGGCAACAGTAACAACTGCAAAGTGCAATAATGTCTTTATGCTAGCTGCTCTAGATGTAATAAAAGAGGTGGTGCGTGTATTTTGCTGAGATCTGGCCATAGATATTCTGTATTGAATGTTGGCAATTATTGTGTAATGAATGTTATAGAATGTTGTGCGGTGAGGCTGGTTGAACATGAGGTTATATTAATTTGCGTATATAGAGTACCTGGCTCAAATCTAGACATGTTTTATGAAAAGCTGGATCTTATTTTGCGTCATATTAATACTAAAGTAAATTCTAAAGTGATCTTATGTGGAGATTTCAATATTAATATATTAGTAAAAACTCGATCAAGTCTTGACTTTCAATATTATTTAAAGGGTCATAATTTAAAACTGTTATTCAATGAACCCACAAGGCCAATAAGTAAGACATGTCTGGATAACATCGCCCATAATGTCAAGGGCTGCCAAGGGGAAATAATAGATTTCGGTCTTTCAGACCACGCTGCACAAATAATGAAATGCCCAGTAAGGAAAACTTGTATTCTAACATCATGGCATATAAAAAGACGTGTTTACAGTGAGGAAAACATCGAAAAATTTAAAAACTGCATAGGTAACCTGACATTCTCTGAAATTTATTTGACCCAAGACACAAACGAGGCTTATGATAGGTTTATAGATCTTTTTCTGTTTTTTTACAATCTGTGCTTTCCATACACGGTAATCACTAAAAGGTTACAAGTAAGACAGAAATGGATCTCAAAGGGTATTAAAATATGTAGTAAAAGGAAGAGAATATTACTATGGAAATATTACAAAAACCCAACTATTGAGAACAGATGTAATTTTAAAAACTACTCGTCTAGATTTAAAAGAATAATCGCCTTGACCAAAAAATCACAAAACGACTATTATATTAAAAATGCGGATAACAAATCTAAGGCCACGTGGACTGTTATTAATAATCAAAAATTTGACTACCCAAAAGAACCAATAACTGACATTTACTTAGATAATAAAAAAATATCGGATCCAATCTTAATAGCAAACAATTTCAATGAATACTTTATTAATCCCGCACTGCCAACCCGTAATTCAATTGACCAAATGAACTTAGCCAATAACAAATTCCGCATACAGGAAACAAGCACTACGTCTATGTTTATGAACCCTACAATACCACAAGACATTGCAAAGGAAATCAAATGTTTAAGAAACACGCATAGTATGGGGTATGATGAAATATCTACTAAAGTGATAAAGGCTGTAGCCCAATCTATTTCACCTCACCTTAGTTACATATTAAACCTTTCTATAATACAAGGCATCTATCCAGATAAGCTCAAAACTACGATTATAACACCATTACACAAAAAGGGCGATAAAACTGTAATGACAAACTATAGGCCAATTGCATTAATCCCAATCATATCAAAAATATTCGAGAAAATAATATACAAAGCATTATATATATATTTAGAAAAAAATAGAATATTAACTGATGAACAATATGGATTTCGCAAAGGAAAAGGCATTAATTTGGCCATACATAAATTTATCGAACCAATTATTTCTAGTATGGATAGAAACTATCCTATATGTGCCATCTTCATGGATATGAGCAAAGCCTTCGACTGCGTCGATCACAAAAACTTGCTCAAAAAACTAAATTCATATGGAATACGGGGTAATATCTCAAATCTAATTCAGTCATACCTTACTAATAGAAAACAATTTACTGAACTTACACAAATTTGTCCTAAACTAAAGAAAGAAATAAAATACACATCAGATACAGCAATAGTTAAATTCGGGATTCCACAAGGGAGTGTTTTAGGCCCACTCCTCTTCTTACTCTACATTAATGATATGCCTAAACATGTTGGACATCCTTTTGTATTATTTGCTGACGATAGTACCGTCACAATTAAATGTGAAAACTTTGACAATTATGAAGCTGACATTAATAATACTCTGACATTAATAATTGAATGGTTGACATATAATAATTTAAAAATTAACATACAAAAAACTAAAATTATACACTTTCGACAAAGAGCACAAATTAAAGACATCGACGTTAATTACCAAGGTGAACCAATTACCTCAACTGATACTACCAAATTTTTAGGTTTGAATATTGACCACAATTTTTCGTGGAAGACCCATTGCGACGAAATTTGCAGGAAAATAAATACCTCTGCCTATGCTCTGAGCAAATTAACAAAAGTAGTCAATCGTGAAGCCGTATTGAATGCTTATCATGGATACGTTGTTTCAAAATTGAGATACGCAATAATATACTGGGGTAACTCTGTTAATAAAGATACTGTGTTTAGAGCACAGAAACAGTGTATTCGAGCAATATGTAGTATAGATTGCACAACAAGCTGTAAACCGTATTTTAAGAGCCTCAAACTAATGACACTTCCATCACTCTATATATATGAAACATTAACTTACGTCAGAACCAACAAAGATTTATACACAGTTGCTTTCAAAAGTGACTATAGGAAATTACGGGATAAAAACAGATTAAAACTCGAGGTTCGTTATGGCAAAACAGCCCTCATGAATAAAAGTTTTCTTTGCATGGCACAACTGATATATAATAAGCTACCAGACAATGTAAAATCACTCAATTTAAATCAATTTAAAAGGACTGTACGGAAAATTCTCATTGACAAATGTTATTATTCAACAACAGACTTTCTAATTGATAAATTTTAACATTACGTATTTCTTGACATTATTTTAATATTATGTATTTCTTGACATTGTTATTATTGTTTGTATTAAATTTGTAAACCTTAATTATTGCTTGCTATTATATTAAATCTGACAGCTTTTTCACCATATTTTGCATGCCAATAAACGGGCAAAATGTATACGGCTACTATATTATATCTGTAACAACTTATTTGTAAACACCTACATTTTATGCAAATAAATGATTTGATTTGATTTGATTTGATATTAAAAGTCGGTAGATTACCCAGCCTGAGTACAGTGCTACATTTAAGTTGTATCCAGGTCATAAATGACACATTTCTATATTTAGATTATAAGGGAAATAATCAAGTTATTATAATAATATGTGGCGACGTGACGTCAATACTGATAGACTGACTACTTAGGCACTATGTCCAAATTAGGTAATTAGGTACATCTATACCTTTATTATGACGCACGGGTAATATAGTGCTGTCAATTCGGTCAATGTTATATCATTTATCTCTTTGCACAATGTTATAATTAGAAACATTAAGGAATAAATATTATTACTGAATATTTTGTCAATATTTAAATCAAAATGCCTAGGGCACCTAGACTACATGTTTGTTTTATTAAGATCTAACTCAATGGCATGCTATGGGAGAGGCCTTTGTCCAGCCATGGAAAAAAACGTGCTGATGATGGCGTTGACTAAATAATGAGTATCGTTTGTCACAAGCAACTATAAATAAGATAGATTATATAAAGACATATAATGAAAACTATTTGAAACAGGTATACCTACGTAAATCAAAATGTATCATTGTGGGGGGAAAATACAACAGAAGATCTCTACATACATACATACAACAGAAGATATATAATTATATGAAGTAGCTGAAAATAAGAAGTATGACGAAAGTGCATAGCGAAGCACTTCAATTGTACGATTTTGATTGATTTCACTTTTTGTGTGGTGAACGAGTAGTCAGATTACCTGATGGTAAGCAATCGGTGCCGTCCATAAAACACCAGAAGATTTACAAGTGCGTCGTCGGTCTTTTATAGTGAATAAAAGTCGGCATAGGGAATTGAGAATTGGGGAGAATGGGGAGGGGAGTAATTGAGTCTCCGAAAACCTCACTCAAACACAATATTAGCATTGTTTCACGCCGGGTTTCTGTGAGGTCTTGGTGCTCCAGTAGGCTCATTCGTGCAGGAGCATGGCTCTCCCGCACTTGAAATTATTATTGAATTTGAATACACTCTTCTAAGGCCGTTATAAGACCAGATACTCTACTATCACCCACCTGTATAGACAGCACAGGTTCCTCATGGCTCACGGCTGCCTTTGGTGTAAGCTTCTCAACCTCAGGGAAGGGAGAATGAGGTGGTATGGGAGTCGCCTGCATCATCATCAGTAGCCACTGGTCAGTTACCAACGTAATACCATCTTCTTGTTCATCAAAATGTGTTCAAACTTGTCACTTTATTTTGATAGACATTAATGACATGTGCATAGATACTGATTAGATTTGGAGAAAAAGGACGTCAACTATGGAGTACTTCTATGTTTTGTGAGTCGTAAAAAGATCCCAAGTCCATACTTTTCTGTAATAAGTATAGCATTTTAATTACATCAATTAATTAAATCAAGTTGCATCTGTACCGCCTCTCCTTTCAATTCTAATACAAACAAAGAATAAACATAAAATAAGCCTTTATTGTTGTTAGTTTTTCTGTACAGTATGTATTGCTATTGCTACTTAAATTAAATGTCGGCGATCGGGTTATTTCTTCTTACAGCTTGCCCCACGACTTAGGCCTCCTTCAAAGGTTTCCATGACTCTCTATCTCTAGTTATGCGGGTCCATTCTGACCCCGCGACTTGTCTAATATCATCTTCCCGACGTTTGCGCTGTCTCTCTTTATTTCTTATGTTGCTCCTTGGGTACCATTCTGTTATTGCATAAAAATAAAGAATAAGATCACATAAGTAGTGGTTTTGTTCATAAGTAGATAAATACGATATGGTTACGTTTCAAAGAAATTATTTTTATAAAAGATTTCTGCTTGTGTTAAGCGCATTTTTTTCTAAAACATAACATAACATCACGCCTTTTATTCCCGAAGAGGTAGGCAGATGTGCACATTACGACATTTTATGCCACTGGAGTTGTCCAGAAAAGTGGGTGTTACATTGGTAACACCCACTTTTCACTATTTATGTTATGAGTCCCATGTAATAGGGGGTGAGCCTGTTGCCATATACCGGGCACAATTCCAGACTTCCGTGCTACCACTGAGAATTTTTTAAAAACCCGGGATTCGAACCCGAGGCCCCTTGCCCGGCAGCCGCACTTGCGACCAATCGGCAAACGAGGCAGTCATTTTTCTAAAATACAACCTTAATAACCAATATATCATTTATTAGATGCTTAGGCATGTGCCTAAAAAGTAAACTAAGGATGTCCTTAGTTTACTTTTCAACAGCCAATAATAACTTGCGCAAGTTTGAATAAAATATGTAATACTAGTATATTAATAATTGTTGACCAGTTTCCAATATCAGAAATAATCCCTATTTATTATTAATGTACCTATTTTCAATACATTTTATTGATGCCCGCGCTAACCCATAAAATAAATTCGTAGTTACGCTCTCAATACATGCAAATGTTCGAATTATTATTACGAATGTGAAATTGGGGGAATTCATTTAAATTTTTGTGTAAAAAAACTGGGAAATTGTATCGCTTTTATCAATCGGGTGCAACAATATATGCTATTTACAATAGTTGTACGGTGGCCATGCTGTTTTGATTGTGAGATTGTTTATCGTAGTTTCGGAATTGCTTACTAAAAACTAAAACGGAACGGACTAATGTAATGTAGGATGATATTATTTATTACACCTTTTCATGCTACTTAAATAAATATCGTACCTAAATATGAAAGATATTCGGTTATTTGTTTTATTAAAAAAATGACATTTTGTCCAAGATATATTTTAAGATTACTGATATTCTGCAGCTATACATCATCCAATTCAAATTATTGAAAATAATAAATATAAATTCTAACTACACACGCTGTCATAAAAGTGTCCCAAAATAATCTCCAGTAACTTGGTCACCGCTCTTTTTAATGGCGCACGCGCCGGACCGCGCACCATTTTATGCAAAAACGCAAATTTCGTTCGAAATTTGAAACGCTCCATTGTGTTGCCAGCTTGAATGAATAAAAATAATTGTTGCCAAGTTGAAGTTTTGGGGGAAATGCGTTTTGCGCAGGTCTCGTCCATTGTGTGCGCAGGAGTGTGCCGAATAGAATTAACGATAGTTTTTATGCAAGCGACATTTTGAATTAATAAGGATTTTTGCATGGTCAAACTGCATGTATTGATTATTTTGAGAATGCGAGGGCCCTCGATGTGGGGCACTGTTGTACTAGGTCAGTTATTGTTTATGTTTTTTGAATTTACAAAGTTAATGTTGGACGAAAGTTATTACTTCGAGTCTTAGATATTATAAATTCGCAGTCATTCTTTACAAATAAAGAAACTTCATCTGAAAGAATATTGCACTTGTTTTGTGTGTAGGAATGTAGTTGGAAATAAAAGACGAATTCTCGTAAATTCATTGTTATTCACTTTTTGTACTTCAACATTTTTTAATCTCATACAATATTAAATAACATTCATACAATATAATTCTCTGTTGTTTCGCTCGATAATTTCAATTATTTCATAAGTTTTATTCCACATAGGGTTCATAATCGAATGAATCAATTAATATAATTGATGTGATATTGCTCTGTTTTATATTGTTTAATCTAATACATGATTTTGGATCATTAATAAGGAAATTATATATTTAAGAACTAATCTTGAGCTTACAAAAATACTTTTCAATTAAAATCTTAGTGTTGTCAACAACATTTTCAAAAAAGTACAATAAAAATAAAACATTTGCAAATCATAAAATAAATAATTGATTAAAGTGTATCTATTATAATAAATAGCCAGATATCTATACTAGATTGTCTAATTCGAGCGAAATACTAGATACATACGTAAAACATGCGCGCAATAGTAATAATATTAACAAAAACGAACATTATTTACTAACAATAAGTGATTGGCTCACTGATTCGCAACATCTCTTTCTTAAACCTTAAGGAAATACGTTTTGTTCGTAATTCTCAACAACCGTATAGAGTTGCCAGACATTTGAAAAAAATTCGTACAATTTTGTACCGCTTGTTTAAAAAAGGTATAAATATATTTTTGTAACTGGCAACTTTTACGGTTTGTTTTGTTTATAGTCGTTACGACTTAGTTGATTGGACCGACTTTTCAGATTTTTAGCTGTTTACAGTCGGTCCTACAACTGTAAAATAGTCAAATAGTATCAAGAATATCATAATACAATGAAATATCGTAAATTCATCATAAAAACTTAACAAGTACATAGTGTTTCTCTTAACCAGTGTTAGATTTTTAACAAAATCTATTTACATACGTTTTTTTTAGAAAAAATCAAGCTTTTCCTACTAAATTGGCTAAAAAGCAAGGCACTTCGTGATAAAGTAACTAAGTTTATTATATACAAAAATATAGCTTGTATATCTAAATAAATATCATCTAAAAATATAATATTTTGTATCACAATGACTTTATTCTGTACAAAAATGTGGTCCATAGGTATGTATATCCCAGTTTCGTTATAATTAAATTGTATATAAAAATATAGCACCTCTCTATATAATTTAAAATACTTTTTTATTATTAAAATTTGTGTTGAAGCGAGTGAATGTGCGTCTATATAATATTTACATTATTTTCTTTTGTCTTAATATTTTATTTCATAATAAAATTGGTGTGAAATATGATTTCATATTGATAGTTTTTCAAAGTAAGAAATAAATGAATTAGCTGCGATTAACACTAAAGAAAACCATTTTTTATGTACAATATGGCGGTGTTGCAACACCAAAAATTAAATTAGCTACTAATGATTTTGAATAGTAGATATTTCAAGGGGGAATTAATAAAAAAATACAATATTTCGGTAACTAAACAATCACATAGTACTTAGATATATAACCTAAACTAATAATGGAGAAAATTTGCTAAATACCTATTATTTGTATATTTACACGCTGTCTGCTCTAAAGTAATTTATATATATGAAATTTCAAGTTTATTTCCTATTTGATCGGTAAATATAATCGGTAAATATATCAAAGAGTTAAAATGTTTTGCACTAAGTATTACTTAGTTTTGTAAGAAGTCTGTGTTTTTATACAAAACAGATTATTTATAATCTTTTTGTCAACATATTGCACTTTTTGACTTTTGCTTAACTGGGATTCCGTATCTGTCGTGATTTTGTGTTAATACATATAATGCATACGTTTCAGTACGTAGTTCGTTTGATAATGAAAAACATTTCTAGTTGAGGACTACACATTCAGTAGTGTTCTTCCAACAACGGAAATAAATTTGACGTTACTGACAGTTGTCAAAAGTGACATCTGTCAAAAATGATACAATATGCTTCTTTTTCTGAGACTATTAGCTCAATTATTGCTTTCAAATTTTTGATAAATACGATTTTAAATCTTCACACATTTAATATCATCATCTGAAACATTCAGCTTGTACTGTCTATACATTCAACGCATACATTCTCCAACTTAACCCTGATTTTGAACACAAATCATCACTAGAAAACATCGATTTTGGTTCCGTACCTATTACTTCGAATGGATACAACTGCATTATTAAACTGCAATATGAACTATCGTTTAAAATAAAAAAGTGATATGTTTTTGGCAAATAGCAGTAAGTAGATAGTACCTACTATATTTTCTCAACAGATGATTTTTATAAATATAAAATACAACAGTGAAATTAAGTAATTTGCCGTTTGAATACATTAAATAAATATGAAAAAGTTTATGATAGATATTTTCAATAGCATAAAGATAGTTTATTTTGCGTGTATACAGTAATTAAGCTACTATGTCGATATGTAGATTCTTATGTCTAAGTAGATATGCGATTAGGAACAAGAAGGTAGGTACGGAACATTGCGTGCGTCAGTTCACTGTCTTATTGAGAATCTTATTCGTTAAGGCACTCATGCGCGTCTTTTTCACTCAAAACTCATGGAAGAGATCTCTAAATTGTGTTTTTAATGATGTATTTTAACCTTTTCAGCTACCAATACTCTTAGCCAAGAAATTCTACGTCGCTCCAATGGAGTATAAGTATTGTAGAACAGAGCCATCTCTTGATTTGGATTGGAACTATTAAGAGACGATTGTCTATTTCAACTTCTTTGTCACTACGAAATATAATATTTCACGTATACAAAATTATAGTTTTTGGTGCGGATGTCCCTTTTCAATACCAGACCAGATTAACATTGTATTGAATATTATAATATTCTATTTGATTGGTACTAAGTTTCAGGTTGTGAATAAGAGATGGCGCTATCTAAGTAACCTGCGTCCTTTACGCTCCGAGGTCCATGTCGAAGCAATGCTGCCTTGGATGAGAGTGCGGGGAGTGCGGCGCGTGATGGTGTCCTAGGAGTAATGCTGGTAGGCCTTCGCCTAAAGCCAGGCCTGCTCCAAGGCCTAGTGCGCTTTCTGATAGCAGGGATGATGAGCCTAGACAAAAAGGATTTTTATATTAGAAACTTATAATGTTACATTGTACTTACATTATTATTTGTAGGTTCTACTCACGAAAGAAGTGGAGGTAAAATGCATTTTATTCAGCCGTCATCATCAAAGACATGAATTAATCGAAAATGATTTTAATTTTACAGTTCTAATTCTATCTAGGGATACAACACAATGATTGAGGGACAAAAATTGAAAACTGCGACATCCCACTCCCTACCGACACGTGAAGACTGTCGTGTCATTTTATCCGGATAATTGCCAATCTCTAGTCACGAGCCTTCTTGTGAGTTACCATAATTATGAGAACATTTTGAATCACTGTTAGGAATAAGTTTGTCTAAAGAAATTATACGTGTGTGTTATTTTAAGTGTGGGAGACCTATGCTTCTGCACGAATGGGTCGGCTCCCCAATCTCCCCAATCCCTGAATCCCCATCGATTCTCAAACTCCTAATCCCCAAAAAGCCGGTAACGCAGTTGTAACGCCTCTGGTGTTCCAGGTGTCCATGGCCGACGCCGATTGCTTGCCATCAGGTGATACGTCTGTTCGTTTACCGGCTTATTCCATAAAAAAATACATCTAAGTACATAAACTTTTATCCCCGGAGGCGTAAGTAGAGGGACACATTACGGCACTGTAACACCCACTTTTCATTATTTATTTTATGAGTCCCGTAGTCCCATGTAATAGGGGGTAAGACTATTGCCATATACCGGGCAAAATTGCAGACTCCGTGCTACTACTGAGATTAATTTTTAAAAGCCCAGTAATACTTTGCTCTACCCGGGGATCGAACCCGAGATCCTTCGCCCGGCAGTCGAACTTGCGACTACTCGGCCGACGACGCGGTCTTACTATACTAATGGGTAAATCATCTTGTTCTTATGTTCTTACCAGCAGTGTGGAAGGTGTTGGAGTCATCATGCAGCATGGAGGAGATGTTCCTGTCGGCTGCCTCCGCCACCACGTTGCTCAGGCACAGCTGCGATGTAGGAGACGAGCAGAGCATTGGATCCCCTGGATAAGAAACACCGGTATTAGTCATTTTGCCTATACTATATTAATTATTAAGTTTTCGGCTTACTTACGTAACTGTTTGAGGAACTCGACTAATTTGAAGCAATACTAGAGGCTCATATTCATGAGCAGCATTCTGCGATACACGACACAACTATCGCCCTGCTACTGAGTTCTAGCGTGTCTTGAAATTAGTCAAGTTCCTCGACAGATACGTAAGTAAGCCGAAAACATTACAGTCTTTATTATAGTCAGGTTTCCATAAAAAAATTATTAGACATTAAAAAGGCCTAGTTGTTTTTTTAAAATACTGAACCACGGATTAAACACAATTTGGGCGAATTATTATGTCAACGAGAAAGTGAGTTGAGTTCACGACCCTCAGCATAAAGGCCAAATGACGTACGAAGGAGGATTGAGGGTAATATCGTATTCTACAGTAATTTCATCTCATTTCATTTCATTTTCATCAAAACTGAATGTTTTTTTTGGCAAAGTAGTTGTTACCTTGCGTGACGGGGTTGTGCGAGTCATCGTCCATGAGGTCCTCTATATGTGCGAGGTTGAGTACGGCGTCACTGTCCTCGTTGCTCAGCAGGTTCGGGGTGGGAGATAGACGCATCTGTTCATATAGAAATATTTTTGTAGTGTGACATTTCCCAAGGTTAAGGTTCCCTTCTTAAGCAGTTAGGTATATTAGCCGTCAAATAAATTAATATAGTAATATAAGGTTTACAATGGTTGACTGCCGGTGCAGTGGCTGGGCAACCGGCTGACGTGCATCGTGTTGCGGGTTCGATTCCCGCACAGAACAATACTTTGTGTGATCTACAAATTCTTGTTTCGGGTGTCACAAAATACATTGAGGGAAAACATACAAATTCACATCATATAAAATTCTAGTGTTATATAAAAATAAAATTATGAAATCATACATAGCTTTTTAATTCTTCTTAGCTGAATTATCACAAGTAGAACTACTCAGCAAGAGGTTGGACTATAATCTCTGAATCAGATAAAATATGGTTTCAGATGTCCAAAAGATTTGTGGTTTACACAATACTTAGTTTTTATTGTGTTCTCACTACCTAGTTATACCTACTTTCTATTGAACTCCTATAACAAAAGTTAAGCAAACATATTCTGGCATAATCATTATATGCATAATACTAAAATATTCCAATTGTTGTTACCTTAATGTCTTTATGGTTGAAGAGGTGGTCTGGCACGGGTTCCAGACACAAGTCTGGCTCGAGACAGCCCAGTGACAGGCCCTCGTCTCGACTGAGGGGGGAACAGGAACCTAGCTTTAGACCATCTGTAAGTAAACAACATAATAATTAATGAAAATATATATATTATTTGTTTAATCAGTCAAGTTAGCGTTAGAGGGATGTATACATGGTTATGCTATTGTATTTTCAAGTAACTTTAGATTGTTATTTGTTTAAGGGACGCGGCTAAAGTGTTTGTAGTTACAGCAATAGCGTGACAATAATGTAAAGACTATTGGTAATTTTATAGTATAATTATTATCTGGTTTATACATATGAAGCCAGACACACTTTACAATGTTAAGCTAAATTAATTAAGAAAAATCACTAGCATTAAATGAAGTGTAACATTCGAAATAGTGTTAACTTTGTATTACAAAAAAGTGGCAAAGGACGAAAGCGGAGAAGGTGTTCAAAAATATCTTTTGTACTATTTTATATTTTTTGTTTATGAACAAATTTAAATATTCATGGTTATTTTCGCCAGACGCATGTGTCATCATGGCCAGACCTTTTGTTTTTGTATTAAATAAGCCAGTAAACAATTTCGTCGCCCATCGACACCCGAAACACTAGAGGCATAACAACGGCATTGTCGGCTTTTTGGGGATTAGGAATTTGAGGATTGTTGGGGATTCGGGGGTTGGGGAGATTGGGGAGGGGGGTAATTGGGCTTCCGTTGTTGGTTATATTTAGTGTTTAATGAGGGTGTAATATAGTGGTATAGATAATGCAAGGTGTGAGTACCAATAGCAATGTATTGAGGAGTCGTACCGAGCGCGTCGAGGGCGGACAGACACTCCGCGGAGGGCATGTCGCGGAGCAGGTCGGGGGGCTGCTCGCCGAACTCCATCAGGGACGCTGGCTCCGACTTTGGAAGGACCAGCTCCTGGAAAGATAAAATGATGATGACGAGGTAAAATTTTGCAAACCATTATTGCTCAAAAACAATGAGGTCATCCTGGATAAATATGATTGAGTTTTTAGATAGCGTACTTAAAAACGCCCCTTCAGACAATACGTAGAAGATGTGTATCTTATTTTCCAGTTGTTTCTAGTCTCTGTACAGCACCTACGTTTCAGTTACAGCTACAGAATTCAGTTCAGAGAAGACAGTACTGACCGGTGCAGCAGTGGGGGTGGCGGCGGGCGGCGCGGCGCGCGGGTCGCTGGCGGGGTCGGCGGCGGGCTCGAGCCCCGCGTCCTCGCCCAGCGGGGAGGCGCCGCCAGACCCCGACAGGGGCAGCCCGTGCACGCGCGCCAGTCGCTCCAACTCCTGCAACGGGGGGACTACGGTGTTACTAACTATATTACTATTGGATACTTTCCTGGGTCAAAACTAAATTATTTTCATTTTTCGATCCAATATATATTCATATATATTTGATAATATACTTAATTTTCGATTTATTAAAGCAATTTTTTCAGAAATAAATGTGCTATTTGACGCAAAAATATGATGACGTCATAAGTTAGTTTTTGGTACAAAATTTATAGAACAATATCGTTTTTGACGTTTCAATAAAAGTGATTGAATTTAGTTAGATGTAAAATACCGTATTTAACTGAAATCGCGGGTTATTTACGTGAATATACTGAGAAAAGCTCGACTAATTTCGAACCACAGAAGGGTTCTTCCTCATGAGCAATGTGCGCGGTCGCGGCGATGTCACGCAGTTCACTGAGAACCTAGTAGAGCTTTTCTCAATATGTTCACGTGAGTAACCAACGATTTTAGTCAATTTAATGTCTCACGATACTTATTATAAAAATATATTACAATTATGGCAAATATCCGGTCGATGGCACAAAAGGGACTACAGTCCCTTTGCGCATTCTAAAAAGGGACTCTAGTCCCTTTTTGCGCCAGTCCCTTTTTTTAAAACCCGTAGAATGCGCAAAGGGACTGTAGTCCCTTTTACGCCGGCGCAAGTCCCTTTTTTTAAAACCCGTAGAATGCGCAAAGGGACTGTAGTCCCTTTTCGCCGCCAATCAACCGGATATGACCTTATATTTATGAATAATCGAAGAGAATGAGAGGTTTAATTTCATTGTAAGATGCAACGACTTTCCATGAGTTATCTCACAGAAAATCGATGTGAAACAACAAGGCCGACACAGCCTTACTATCAGGTGACTCGCCTATTCATTTGCCTCTCATATAAAAAGTTCTGGTGAAAAGAGTAGCTCATTGCCCGAACCGAGCAAAATTCTAATGCTTTTTATCCATTCAATTATTTTTGCTATACATAGCTTTCTATTCATGATATATATATTGTTAAATTAGTGAATTAAAGACCCAATTTTAAACATTTACAAAATCAAAATTAGCCAACATATTATTAGTTAGTACATACCTGTATTCTTAACATTAATTTCCTATTATGTATTTCAATTTGTTTCCGCCGCTGTTCACCTTGTTTCAATCTGTTCACTTCATCTCGCAAACATTTGATATAGTCCACGCTGCTCTTTAGGATAGTGCCTTTGTTCGGCCGCACGTCCCTAATCACTTCGTAGAAGGGATCGTTTGTTTTAGGCAGTAACGTGCCTAATTCCTTTATCCGGTCGTTTATGTTGAAGCGGCGGCGTCTTTCAACTGAAAGGTAAATGAAGAAGGCGGTTAAACTTTGATTGTTATTTATTTTTTACTCTAGAATATTAGGAATTAATCAATATCAAGAAGTTCCAGTCTCTGCCTACCTCCATGGGGGCCTGCGTGAGGTTATGTATAATGTATGAATGAATGATGTATGTAAATTTCAAAGAGCTTTACACATCGATAATTACAACTATATCGAGCATGGAACACAAGCATTCAACATAAGCCAGACTTGACTTGTATGTTGTATAATCATAATTCAATAAGAATTTTTCAAGTATATCTGTGGGCCGATCCCGGCGGCACTGCAATGCCGGGCCGACCCGTGACGGGAGTGGAGCGAGCCCCGAACATCCCGTCAGTTTACAAAAATCAGTTTAATATACTGGTCCCTCAGTGAGGGAACTTTCAGATATTAAGCTGAAAAGAACAGATACTACACTTTGATCTTAGCCAAAAGGCCGAGAAGCGATGCCGTACATACAACAACCGGCGAGGGTCATTCATTTGCGGAGAATCTTAACACCGCGATTCAGAAATGGGACTTAAACTAACAACGCCATCTGATTCTATGTCATGGAACTACACAAAATGCGAGAGACATTTGCCTGATGGATAGATGGCGGTACTTTTTACTGGAATAATAATGTACTTACTCATATTATGATTGTCTTTCTTCTGTCTATCCTTGGCGAGGGCGTGCATGTCTGACTCTGTGAGGAGGGCGCAGTCTCCGGCCACGGAGCTGGCGGCCGACGGAGGGCCCGACGAGGAGAGGGGACCCGCACCACTGTCTAATGATAGGATGTCTTCTAGGAACTCGTCAGCCTGGAAATCAAAACAATTTGATACAGTAAAATACCAGTGAATATTGAGGAGAAATATTACAAAAAAACATGGTTAGAAAGATATTTTCACAACGATATACAGGATGTAAATGCTGTGCTACTGATATTTTTCTCGTGTTAGACTTCTGAAATCGTTCTCATTATACTCTCTGTCCATCGGTACGTAGGTACATATTTATTATTTTGGATATTCTTAAAGAACACTACTGTTGTCCTTAAAACCGTGAAATCTTGAGCGATCCAGAGATTGAAGAACGGTTGTTAATTTCGGCTATATATGAATTGTTACAGACGCTAATTAAGGTCGCTATGAGCAGTTGGATGCTGATAACTTTTTCACTGTGGGAGAGCCATGCTTCGGCACGAATGGGCCGGCTCGACCGGAGTGATACCACGGCCTCACAGAAAACCGACGTGAAGTAACGCTTGCGTTGTGTTTCGTCGTGTGAGTGAGGTTACCGGAGGCCCAATTACCCTCCCCTTCCCTAATCTCCCCAATCCCTGAATCCCCAACGATCCTCAAATCCTAATCCCCAAAATGCCGGTAACGCACTTGTAACGCCTCTGCTGTTCCAGGTGTCCATGGGCGACGCCGATTGCTTACCATCAGGTGATTCGTCGGCTCGTTTCCCAGCTTAAGCCATAAAAAAAATCTGGTCTATCTGGAACTCAATGGAGGATATGCTTAGCAGATAGTGAATTGTTCTCTCTGCATGCTTTTCTCTATTCTGAATGATCCTTGTGCTCCTGAATACCTAAAGTCTTGCTTCCAGTTACTGGGCAGTTCTCACAGCCGAAATCTCCGTTCTGCTGAAAATCTGCTTCTTGAGATTCCGTCCCACCGAACATCCTTCATTTCTAACTCTTTCACAGTTAGTGTAATTAAGTTATGGAACGCATTACCGCTTAAAATAAAAAAGGCTCCAAATAAGATCACTTTCAAACGCGATGTTCACGAATTCTTTTTAAAGTCACTACAACGCTGAGTCTAGGTCTATTCCTATTATATATGTATTATTATAGAATTTATTTATTTAGTATATTTATGTATATACGAGCACACATATATGTTATATATACCTATATATTTATGTTGTATTTATATTGTAGTGTAAATTTTAAATATTTTTAGTACCTTTCTATATTTATAAAGTCTATTTATGTTATTTGTTTCTAATAATTACACATGCCTATTTTTTCGCAGATTTCCATTTTAACCCTAAGGTTGACTGGGAGAGAATGCCATATGGCATTAATGTCCGCCTTATGTACCATTACTTGTTTGTGTGTACATTAAAGTTTAAAAAAAAAAAAAATTGTGGTGTCTGTTACCTCTGAATTATTACTAGCAGAGGGTATGCCGGGCGAGCGCAGTGAGGAGGAGGGTCGCTCCGGAGAGGACGCGCGCCGCGTGCCCAACTCCGGCGCAGACTGCGTCGGCGCACATCGCGGTGACACCTGCAAAGTTAATAGAGTTTATGTAAATATGGATGGAAAGTCTTCCTATCCGATACTTTTATTCGATTTTTCATTCGAATAGTGTAATAAACATAGTATTTATAATGACAGGACATTTATCCTGTTTTAAGATACATTCATTTAGTCACGGGATAACAATCAAGTAAAATTCACGCTGTATATGGCCGTTTACACTAACGACTCCTAAATCTTACTATAAACTTAAAAACTTAAGAGTTATTTAGCGTGAGGGAACACCTAACCTTTAACTTTAGGTGTTACTTATAGGTTGGAGAAATCAAATAGTCTTCAAGTTTCACCTATCTTAGCTTAGAGGTTCCTTAAGAGATTTGTGAAAACGGGCAGTGGACAGATAGTATTAAGACCTAACCATACCTGTGTCTGAGGTTGAAATGATTCACTAAGGTACTGGCGCACTTGACTCTTCTGTTTCTGTATCACGTGATACCTGGTGGGGTTCTCCAGAACTGTTCGCACCTGGAATGTTAAAAGACAGTGTTATAAATACTGAAGTTGCACGGTAAACTGCCGAGGAAGATACCGAACTTGATAAAGTAGTATTAGTTGTTTCGACCTTCAAATAAATGTATGTTCATAACATAACATAACATAATATCACGCCTCTTATCCCCGACAGGGTAGGCAGAGGTGCACATTACGGCACTTAATGCCACTATACAATGTAACACCCACTTTTCACTATATATGTTATGAGTCCCATGTAATAGGGGGTGAACCTATTGCCATATACCAGGTACATTTCCAGACTCCGTGCTACTACTAAGGTTTTTACAAAAAAAGTAATACTTTGCCCGGCAGTCGCACTTGCGACCACTCGGCCAATGAAGCCGTCATATGTATGTTGAGTGATTTAAAATATCCTTTATTACTCGTAAATAAATAAAAATGTTGGCATAAATTTAAAGTTAACATGTACTCCGAAGGGTTAAACAAAAGAGTTGTCTACCTCTTCGGGTGAAACGGGTAGATCTTACGTTGTTTTTGAGAACATTGTCACCACACCAAAACACGACCGTGAGGCGTGCATGGCATACACAATTGCAGATTTTACATTACAACCTGTACAAAAATGTACAGTTTTTGGTAGATATTCAAATAATTTCGTACAGACCTGTAATACTTGTGGCGGTAGGTCAACGTGAGGCGTGATCCGCGGCACCTCCGCCGGACTTGACTTCTTCTTCTCCTCATTGTCCTTGGACTGGCCTGCTTGTTGTGCCTGCAAGTATAAGTAAAGTTATTGGTATTATTATAGTCACACAATAAAGCGAATGAAATGTTTTGATTATGTAAGCATGGAAGATACTTTCATGTCTTTTTGCATAAGTCCTTACGTTCTAACAGTTGAGTAAGTTCATGGTAACGAAAGTTAAGGATGAAACAGTAATAAAAATGTGTCTATTTAAATATTAATTACAGACAACGGCAATAAAGATTGTTAAAAAGGAGAAAGGAGCCTTTTTTATCGTAAGTCATTCCTAGTTAAGCATTTCTAATAGTTTGATTTCAATAAAATACAAAACGTTCGAGGTCTACAGTCCCAAGAAGACATTCTATAGACTCGTGGAGACGATGACGCAAACAAAAATCCTCGAAACTAAACACGGAGTGCTAAACAAGAAACTCAAATGAATGAATCAAACAAAGTCAATAATTTAACAAAAATTATATAAGTGGATAAAGACAACTATTCTAATAGGATTAATGAAAACCATGTGATGTTAAAATTAAATGATCCTTACACGGAAAGTGATAATACAGTATATTTGCTTGGACAATTTGCATGGATTTATAATAAACATTTAATATTTGATGAAGAAAGAATGAGACTGTAAAATAGAAATTGTTAGCGTAGGTCATGGTTTAAAACTTAAGGAAAGAGAACAGATGACAGATATAGACAAAGAAGAAGCGAGCGTCTTGCTTAAGGTTGTCAAAATTAACAACAAAGATTTGAATTTAGAAAAAGAACGAAGTATACACAATATTTCAAAGAATAACATTAACAACATCTTAAAAACAACACTAACAGACTTCTAGAACATTGGCAATAAAAAACTTGTATCAAAACATAAGTAATATCGTACCAAAAGCAGGAGCGAGTACGGTTTTATTATGCACATGTGCACTGCATAGTTCAGTAACCTACGGGACACCATAAGTCAGGTTTTCCCCAGTACTAGGTAAGCTGCGTGGGAGTTTTACCGACATGATACACTTAGCGATTTTATAATCTGTCGTGCGATCACACAGGACAACCATGTTCGTAATAACTTTGGAGTAATACTTGTTTGCGTATGTTTAGTGAGCAAGTCTTGCATCGCTTTTTCCTTAACTGTGTGTTTTAAGATGAAAGAGATTTATGGTTTAAATATTGAAGGAAGAGGAGGATAAATGATAAATATTATTGTCATGATGGTAATTATACTAAAATGACTGAATAAGTAGAAGAAATAGGAGAGTAAGACAAATGGATGGATTATAGGTAATGATACGGTTGAAATTATCGTCACGTCAAAGAAAGAAATATTAAACTTCTATCTAGTTAGGAACTAGATCCTCACAAATTACGAAAAGAAGTCCCCTTTGGCATCTGTATATTTGTTACTATGTTCAAACGCGATAAACTCAAAAAATACTGGACGAATTTTTGCATAGCGCTGTTAAAGAGGGAGTTTAGATTTAAATTGTATGTTTCTATAGATAAAATCTATTATTATTAAAGATAAATAAGAAACAAGCTACCTACTTGTAACGATTCTCTGCGCAGCTGCTCCTGTGCATGTTCGCGCATCAACTGTTGCTTCAGCTGTGTGCGAGAAGTCGGCGTCAATGTCTTGAACGTAGGCGGGCTGGAACAATGAGAAAATTCACGTTAATTCACTTATATGAGTAACAGGATCATACAAAATGGTTGTGTTGAATTATCCAATTAGATTATGACACCTAAAAAAAACAATTTTTGATGTAAAACAGCTGAAGTTTTTTTATTTTCTAGATGCTAGTGGAACAGCTTTTGAGTCAGAGTTACTTTCTCCTTTTGCAATGACTTTTGCAATGAATTTTATTAACCGACTTCTCAAAAAAGGAGGAGGTTCTCAATTCGGTCGGTATATTCATGCTTTTTCTCTTCATCATACATCATTTTAGATTTCTTTCATCTCATTTCTCATACAATCTAATCATCTTTTTTTATTTCTGCAAATAGGCTACAAGGCAGCACTTTTACACGTCAATTTTATTAAGCGAACGATGAGGTTTTATTTGAGTTTCCTTTCCATCTACCTACATTTACAGATTAAATATGAACTACACTGTAATTTGATAGTGGCTGGGCAGTGGTGCGAAGATTATGGCAAACCATTCTTATGTAGTGGAGGTCTATAGTTCACCAGTGTCTTTGATGACGATGATGACAATATTGTATTTAAATAACAATATTTAATAAATATGCCATTAGTTTGAATACAAGACGTGTTGTCGTGGGCTAACGGGTACATAACATTCGTTTATCCTCGATCCGAGGATCCGACCTAAGGTGCGCACGCGCATAATAAACGTCGGCGCATGAGTTAACATACAAAAGGGAAATTTGTTTCTACCAAATACATTTATTTGTTTATTATGTTTGTATAGTACCTTTTTAAGTTCAATATTTATAGGTGTATCTTTAATGTTGATTTAAGTTGCAGTCAACAGCATTCATTCAAAAGTGATCTTGTTTCTTAACTTTATGATAGAAAGGAGGTAGAAACCAGACCACAAAAGCTACGCCTTCTAAATATGTACATAAATCTTTCGTAGATTACAGAATAGATACACGACATTCTTTTGTAGGTATTAGAATTAAATAAATATCTCTATAATATGTATCTCTTTACAGTTTAAGTACAACATTTATGTCTATTATAAATGTCAAACGGTTACTACATAATATGACATTGGTGATATGCACGATTGTGAGAAGATCCCTGTCATGAACTCTTGGAAACAAGACGGTAATATAAAACAAACGAACATATTCTGTAAAAACGAATGAATAGTAAGCAAATATGGGCTAGAAACCATTGCAGTCTAAACTATCTCCAGACGCAAAAATCATAGCATAAAATTTATTCGTTACGACATGTAAGAAAAAGAGGCAAGACATATTAAAACGTAATTTAGTAAGGATAACGTGTAAAAGAGCATTTAGACTCCACAGACAAACGGTGAAGGCAAACATCGTGAGGAAACCTGGGCTTATATTTACTAATTATAAGTTTGAAATCGCCAACCCGCATTGAGCAAGCGCATTAATGCTCAAACCTTCCCCGTATGAGAGAATGGACACTTATAGGCCGTTAGTGATAAATCGTGTATAAATCACTATAAATAGGATATTCTTCATCTTCTTGTTTATCACTCGAACCTAGACCGTTACTTGGTTGTCCAGCCCTAACGTAATCCTCTTTGTGATGAAAATAAGACTAAATCTAGTATTCTATAACTACTGGTAATGATAGCATTTATGTGAACATTCTGATGACCATGTGACGATAATTTAGATGGAGCTATTATGAAATGCCATTTGATGTGTCATTACATCCGAGGATGTATAATAAAACTTTATTTGTATCTAGCATTTCCGCCATTCATAAAAAATATATCTATGCTTAATGAATTGTTGTGGACTGCTGAATAATGTTCCTTATCTCCCAGACTAAGCCTTTTCTAAGATTTCCTAAATATAATAAAAGAGCAATAGGAGAAATTCCAACTGTTTCATTACATATTCAATATAATAAAGCTGTAATCTTATACTTATTATATAAAGCTAAAGAATTTTGTCTGTTTGAGCGCGCTAATCTCAACAATCAAAGGTCCAATTTGAAAAATTATTTTTGTGTTGGATAGTCCTTTTATCGAGGAAGCCATTACGCTACGATCAATAGGCGCTGAGCAGAGCGGTTAAAAGTAGCTAGTAGAGATAATAAAGTTAATTTTAAGTGAGAAAATATCATCTATTATCTAATGTGAAAGTTTGGGTCATATATTATCTCACTCTAAAGTAGTATGCCTGAAAATAATGTTCCTTCACTTCATGAATAGAGATACTTGATCTTCCACTAGGACAAAGACGACTAGAACTCAAAATTATAGTATCTACATAAACTAGTGTTGGTATTGACGGGAATTAACGGTCAAGGCTCACTTGTCGGCCACACATGCGCAAGAGTCGGTATACGGGCAAATTATGCCAATGTGTAATACATGGCCGCTACTCAGTTATGATTGGGCCGCGGATCTGTTTGTTTGCTTTTTAGAATTAGTTTAACGGACATTCTAATCAACTATAGTACTTCGTTCCGATAGTTTCTAGAAATTCTAATAAATATTCTGTGAAGACAAGTCATGGTAGTTTGGTGGTAACAGTGCCCATTTGGGAGGCCCATTCTAGAAATGCTAAAGTATCTACTTATACAGATAATCATGTAATTTTTCATAAACATCATTATAAAATATGGATTCATTACTAAATTGTGTGTGAAATCATCAATTAGCATTGAGCAAGCGACTCGATCAGTGCTCGTTCCCTTTCCTTCTGAGAGTTAAGCTGCCTTTGTTCTGCAGAAGGACAGTTGATAGACTGATTTATTTGTTCAGCAATATTTTAGATAACATATTATCTACCTAGTTTACATTCAGACCTTAGTTAGACATGAGGGTATGAGGGTATGTAATGATAACTTCCTGAAGTATCATACATTACATAGATATGCTTTCAAGACTATATTTAATGTAAAGGGCTAAAACAAAGTGTGTGGGAAAGCCATGCTTAGGCACGAATGGGCCGGCTCAACCAGAGTGATACCACGGCCGAACAGAAAACCGACGTGAAACAACACTTGCGTTACATGAGTGAGGTTATCGGATGCCCAATTACTCCCTTCCCCAATCGCCCCAATTCCTTGAATCCCCAACAAATCTCAAATTTCTAATCCCCAAAAGGTTGGTAACGCACTTTTAATGCCTCTAGTGATTCGGGTGTCCATGGGTGGCGCCGATTGCTTACCATCAGGTAATCCGTCAGCTTTTTTTAGTTACTTTACCGTTTAACAAATTCTGTTTACCTGTGTATGTAGGCTTATAAATATTATCTACTATGCCCAAGTACTTATTGAGTAAAATGTTATAAAATGGGTAAATGGTTATTAGTTATTTTATTACATAAGTAGGTAGTAAATAGTTATTAGTGTTATTATTGAATGCACGTGACAGGTTAAAAGCTGTGTGTTATTGACAAACAGGTTTATTGTTTTTGTTCTACTTTGACTGAAATTCGTGGTAAATGTCTAATTAATAATTTAATACTGAGTCGATGGTTTACTAATACATGTAGGACAATAATAAAATAACTGGTAAGAAAGAATCGAGGAGTGTTATGTAGAAAAGTTAAATGAAAACATAATGATTTAATGAAGTAAGTAAAAAGTAATTTAAGATAAGGGCATTTACAATTAAAACATTTAATAGTTACATAAGATTATATGATATATTGAATTATGGCACGGAAATAAAACTACAACATAAAATAAATAAGAAATGGGGAGGTCTACGGCTGATATGATATACGGAGCCGCGCGAGGCCTAACGGGTTGCCGGGGCTCCGGCTCGAAGAGCAGGAGTAGGAACGGGGTGGTTTTTAGTCAGTAAGAGTCTGACACTCCCTCTCACCTAACCCAGGCGGGAGAAGTCATTGGATGATTTTACCCCCTCAAAAAATGACTGATCTAATATGATGATGATAATGATGATGATTAAAGAAAAAGAATATCCCATCAAATAGAAGTTTGTCTTAACAATTAAATTCCTAGCTCATTCTAGTTCGTGTGCTTCATTCTAGAATATACGCTTGGATGGAGCAGCTCGCTTTACTAATCGAAATACAATAGACGATAGTATTTTAATGTACCTGTGGAAGAATTATTTGGAATAGACAATTTTGTCGATTTGTGGAGTTTAAAAACTTTTCTTGGCTACATACCAGTCCATCATCATATCATATTGATGTTAAGACGTGAGAAGAAATGGAGTAATCATATTTATCGAAACTTGGCACTAGATCGAATACTATATTATTTGCACAATGATACGGTTAGTGCCAAATACATACGTGTGATTTTGTTCAGTCTTGTTGAAGATATTAGAGAGTGCCAGGTGGGGAAGGGATTGTTGAACGTGGTTTGAGTAGCCGAAACATGTCATGACTGTTTCGTTGGCCGAGTGGTCGCAAATGCGACAGTTTACTGGGTTTTTACTGCGGCAGTTTACTGGGTTTTGTGCCCGGTATATGGCAATAGGCTCACCCCCTATTGTATGGGCCTCATATCATAAATAGTGAAAAGTGGGTGTTTCATTGTACGGAGGCATTAAGTTTCGTAATGTGCACAGAGGTGCCTACCCCTTAAATCGGTATCAAACTAAAGGGTTCGATACAGGGCCAGCCGTATTTATTGTTACATAGCTGCATAGAAAAAGAAAGTACTATGTACAGCATAAACCTACTTATCAATCTATGTGTATCCGATTGATGGGGTCAAAAGGCAGAGCAGTAAGTAGTTGCCACTTCGATCTTAAGCCAAGCCAAGTAATTACCTAGGACTAATAATGTTAACAGGAGCACCAGAGAATTCGAAGAAAACGTATCGTATTTTAATAATATATCATAGATACAGGTTGCTTATCAACCGATAAACATCTGTATGTATGTTTAGTGTTATCGTGCTACAATCAGCTGTTGAAATTGGGTCATGTATTGAAACATTATATGCTATGTAATATCGAACAAAGTTCATAATCAGAGAG